GCCCCGGGGGAGGGAACACCGTGGGCAAGAGGACGCGGCACCAGCAGACGGGCTTCCGGGAGGCAGCCAGAACTGAATAAAAGCCAAAAATCTCCCATCGCCAGCGCCAGGTAAGGTTGTTGCAGGGCAGCACAGGGTTTTGGGGTCTAAATCTCACTTAGGGAGTTTTTTTTTTTTTTCTATGTAAGACTGCTCAGTAGAGTAAACAAACCATGTAATTCCTCTGTGAGAGCTCTGCCGTGGAGTAGTGCAGCAAAACCCAAGCTGAACAGAGCCCGCTATTACGAGTTACTAAGAGGAAGCTTTTAAAGCCAGAGGAGATGCCTGTTCTCCCCTGCAAAAGGTACCTAAAGTGACACAACTTAGAGTTGTAACAGCAAAGCCACCTACCCCAGACACCGAACGAGCTGTCTGTGATCGAAAGAAGGCAGAGACCGTGCTCAGCCCCGGCAGCGTCGCCAACCTGCTCCGCTGTCCTGAGAGCACGTTCCTGCCATCGAGGTGGGTCGCGCAGGGCACTGGGAAAGCCGCGAGGTGGGCTCACCTCCAGCAGAGAAGGGAGCGAGCCCCGCATTCGTCTGTGCGGCAGTGCTTTCGTGAGTGTCTGTGGACGCGAGGGAGCGCAGGGCCCTTCTCCCCGACTCCGGGCTGTCGTTCCACGCTGCAAAAAGGATCTCCGCTTCGTCAAAGCCAACAAGTACCAGAGACGGGCGGGGATCGGAAGTCCACGCGCAATGCCACAGGTGAGGGTTCGCAGCCGGGGACTCTGCTCTCATTCCTTGGCCCTGACGTAGTTGAGGGAGAGTAAGACCATGCTGTTTGCCAAGAGAGAGGCCTCGGAAGCTGAAAAGACAAAAGCTGAGTCAGAGCAGCATCGGGAGGGAGGCAGAGCGCAGCAGAGGCTGCCAACAGCAGGATATAAACCAGGCAGCTTCAAGCACACTCATCTTGAGCTGCATCAGAAGCTGTGGGGCTCCTCGGTGCCCCAACCCCCCCCAAAGGAGCCAGCCTCGCTCTCGTGGGGGCTCTTCGCTCCACTCAGGGGGACCCGATTTCCCTCTCGCTCCTGTTTTGCTTCCCCTAGTCCTACTGCGGCGCTCAAGTCTGCCACCGCGAGGTCTCAAGCGACAGCAACAGCCAGGCGAGCAGCACAAGCCGGCCGGCCCCGGCTGGCGTCCACCCCGCGTAAACCCGGACCCGCTCCCAGGTACGCGTCCCTCTGCGGGAGACGGGGCGCTCGGAGCTGCTGCGGTGCAGCAGATCTCCCCGGCGTTGCCCAGACCAGCGCCACCAGGCAGGCGCTGCCTACCCCAGCTCGGCCTCTGTTACCTTGCAGCTTGCAGGACAGCCCCAGCCACTGCTCCAGCCACGCTCTGCACTCGGACGCGCTGAGGTGAGTGGAGTTCAGGCCACGGAGGTAACAAGCCTACGGACCGCGGCAGAGAATTAGTACAGATGCGTTTAGGTACGGCTGCTCTGGGTCACGCGGGACTCCCTAACGTCAAGGGTTACACGCTGCGATCCTTCCTCATCGCCTCTTATAAAATAGGACGGATCAAACTGTTCCAAGCTGTGCCGTGAAGTAACCCTAGCACAAAGCCCTCCCCACAGGCAGGCCGGAGGTGGATGGTGCTGCCATTTGCCCCAAGCTCCCCCAAATCCGAGCGCTGCTTCACGCTCCCTGCGTGCTGAGCACCAAATCTTTTTGCAGAGAAACTTGAGGGAGATATTGCCAAGCCTCCTTGTTGCTATTTCTTTCGTGCTCTGTCTCCCTGCTGGGAGACTTACTGGTGAGACAGCTGGCTGCAGCTGAACAGGAGTATTTATTGGCCTGGTTCTGCCTCAGACACGAGGATTTTGTAAAAGGCCACAGCACAAAGTGCTTTCACGCACAGCATTCACACTGCAGGCTTCAGCAGGGCACGTGGGAGATCTCCCCTCACCAGGAAGGCTGGGGCATTCACAGGGATTTATAGCAGGTCCTTGTCCCTCCGCCTCTCTACAGAAAGGTTTGGTTGGAGGTGCCAGGCTCAGATAACGCCCCCACGGAGGAGGGAACCCCGCACTTTGCCTCGCGGCGGGTCTGGAGGAACGCGACCTTCCCCGACGCAGCAGGGCAGCTTCCACCAGAGAGAAGCGAGCTGTCGCTCGCAGCTCTGCGAACCACGGGAGGGCCAGCACAACACAACCCTGCAGAGTCGTGCAACTTGCTACAGCACCTGGCGCAAAGCAAGAGAGGCGTCACCCTCACCGCTTTCATCTCCTCCTCGGAGAGCTCGCTCAGCCCCAGCCGCAGCATGGCACGGTCCAGGTGCCGGATCTCCAAGACGTGGCTCCGCAGGCGGTATCTCAGGAGCAAGGCCGGCAAGTGAGGGGTCAGGAACAGGACATGGCTTAGGGCTTTCTGAGGCAGAGAAGGAAAACAAGGACAAGGGCACGGTCTCAGGTGAGCCCACGCGACACTGCAAAAGTGGGATCGGGGTGTCCGACCCACTCAGGCACAAATTTAAATCATACAAAGCATCTGCTGTTCCACCTTTGTCCTGCCCGTATTGCAACCCTGAGCTGCCCCCGACAGTTCTCACTACGCCCAAAACAGCAGCGTGGCCGGTGAGCGGAGCAGAGAGCAGGTGCCTACGGAAACAAGCTCTACTCTGAACCGAGCCGCTGGAAACGGGTGCCTGCGGCACGTTCAGGTTTGTGGGCAGGCTCAGACGTGGCCGATGGTCCGACCAAGCCAGCGCACCAGGGAGCTACAGAAGGGACGCTCAAACGGTCTCATTCTGCGGCCGTTTCAGGGCACAATGCGCTGCCTCTGCCCTCGGCACAGCCGACGGATGGGCACCCGCACGTTCTCCGATCCGCTGGGAAGAGGAAAGCGGCACTCACCACGTGGGACACACGGAGCTTGTTCAGGCCCAAGGGAGACCCCGAAAACAAGCCTCTCACAGCATAGAGTTCAGCCACGCGTGGTTGGGAACCTCGCTGCACCTGAAAGTGCCAAAACGTCACTGACGATCGGAGCCCTCCATCCGTCCCAAGGGTGCTAGTCACCACTAAATCCAAGCTAGGCAGGACTAACGCCGGAACTGGGAATTATCAGCCTAATTCAAGCAGCGTCAGGCTCAGCACAGGCTGCGCGATGTCTGCGGAGCTGGACGGATGCGCCAGGCAGCCAGCAGCACGCAAGCTAGCTCAGGTAGCCCTGCGGACACGGCAGATTGAGCCTATCCATCGCAACACCCAGCACGCAGCCGGGTCCTGTCTCCACAGGGCGCCGCAGCCACAGCGCTACCGTGCGCATCGAGCGAGACAGGCTGACACGGCGGCGGCATTTACCTGGGTGCAGAGCTCCTGCAGCTGTTCTTGCAGCCGCGGCTCAGGCAGGGACCGTGCTGCCAGAGCTAAGCTCTTTACCACGTCCGAATACGCTTCTCTCCGGATAGCGTGGTAAGCGTCCAGGAACTCAATCTGTTGCTGTGGAGTCCAGAAGTAGCGGATCAGGAATTGTCTTGGGAAGAAATACCTTGGAGAGAAGAGGTGATATGAGTTGAGAGGGGAGCCTCGCACGCGAGGAGACACAGACAAGCTGGGGCGATCGGATTTTGTTTTGTAGAGGAAAAGAGGGATGAGCAATGCCCTGCTCTGGGGCAGCTCGTCTCTCTCCAGCCTGAGTTCACACATATTTGCTCCCCAGCCGGAGCGCACGGCGAGCTCGTGCCCTCCAGGGAAGGCACGCTCGAGACAATCGGATGGCAGCCATTCCCAGCCGGACATTCCCAGCTGTGGCTGACGGTCACGGAGAGGCTTGAAACAACACAGGAATCTCTGCCCTCCGCTGTTTACATAGCGGGGCTCTCCCCAGCTCACAGCTCGTAAAACCCAGAGAGCAGAATTTCGAAACCCAGGGACAGCCCCACTGGCTCAGGCAGCAGGACAGGTGGCAGGGAGGGAGAGGAACGTTTGAAGCACTAGGGAGGCAGCCGGGAAGGAATCACGCAAGGAGGCCACTTCTCTGGCCAAGCGCACGCAGCGCTGTTTACCGCAGACGCCCGCTCTACGGTCCCAGCAACATGCCAGGTTTCAATTTCTCTAGGTTAGAAAGAAAGACAGAGATCTGGACAGGTTACTGCCACGCAGCAGAAAATCCTGCTGCGAAAGTGAAACGACAAAGCGTCAGCTGCGAAAGGAGAAAAGGAAGGAGCCCAAAAATCAGCGCCACAGCCAAACCCCTGCACTTACCGCTGAGCGACCGCCGGTCGTTATCCCAGGAAAGCCCTGGAAGGGGAAAGTCAGCGTTTTAAAGGTTCTAGAAAGCTCATACTCACATCAGGACTATGACCAAGAAGTTGGCAAAAGGCGGAATGGCGATAACCCCGATAGGAATGGCCTTGATCAGGTCCCTGCGAAACTGTCTCAGAAATTAAAACAGACAATTAGGGTTCGATACCAAGTTAACGAAACCCACTGAAAATTAACAGCTCGAGACGGCTTCCAACCCCAGTGGCAACTTCCAAACCCTGCCCTTAGCCAGAAATGCCCCTTTACTTAGACCATAACCCAGAGAAAGTCTGCCCCGCTCCGACCCCCGGCTGAAGCCAGCTGGCTGCACGCAAAAACAGAGCTTTTTTTTTTTGCCGAAAGCAAACCTCCCCGGGCAGCAGGAGCAAGGCAGAGCCCGGCGCTACCGCCGGAGCCAGGCAGCACGCGACGGAAACGCGTCCTCGCTACGAGAGTCCAGCTCGCGCGCCGCGACGCACCTGTCTCAGCCTCTCCATCTCCCTGTAGGGAAGCTGATGAAAATTCAGTCTCTGACGGGACATTTTTAACTTGATCTTTCTTATTTCTTTTACTTCCAGAAACAGCACTTGAACTCCTGCGCAAACAGAGATGACGTTCAGGCTGCTGCATCGCAGGCAAACGGTCAGGAGCATCGCTGACAAGGTGATTTTTTAGCCTTTGAGGCGCTCAGAGGAGAACAAACAGCGCACCCTGCTCTGTTAGTTCTCCCGCAAGGAGCGAAAACTTCTCCGTTTTCTTCCCCCTCTCTCAGACCCACCTTTTGTGAAAGTCGCGTACAACACATAGAAGCGGGGAAACGTCCTTTCCAGAAACCTCTCGTACCTCCCGTTGATGCGCTTAACTTTTGACACAAAGGCAGTGAGAAAGGCCCGGGAGTTCGCTTTGGCAGAGAAGCAGCACACCGAGTGCCTGCAACAAAAACCACCCATCAGCAAAGGTTTTTTTGTTATTCTGCAGGATCGGGCTCTGAGAAGGAAAGCAGGGGTTGGCTGGGAGACGGCGCCGGAGGCTCCAGGAGGCTGCGGCCGCTTTTGTTGGATCCCCAAAAGCCCCCGTCCCCAAACCGAGGACGGAGCTGCCGGGAACCTGCCCTCGGGCGCGCCGGGAGCCGCAGCCGAGCCCAGGCAGCCGTTCGGCCCTGCGCGGACGACGCTGCCCCCGCCAGGGCCGCGCCCG